TTGTATTCATTGTAACTCACCTAATAACCATATGCACAATTACTGCACTGTTATTGCCTTAAGTCAGTCTTTAGTTTGCTCAAAATGCTCTGCATATAAAGGAGCTTTTGGCATGAACACCCAATTGTTATACTCCTTTGTATAAACATGTACCATGCTAAAATAAAATTATTATTATTTTTATTATTATTATTGAGCTCAGGGTCCCTTCTATAGTTCATCATCATCAGCTCAGCTCATTAAGATAAGCTGTGAGCTGTAAATTTTGGCCTAGATATGAGAGAATGGGTCTGTGTGGCGAGTGTGTACGGAATAAAAACTGCCCCACAGTGCAAACACTATAAATACAACATGTTTGTTACTTGCAATGCAATGTATCTAAAAATGTTCATCAGTTGGACCACTTCATGCAACATGGAGGACTACTTGGAGCACTATTCATGCAACATGTTTGTTAATTGCAACACCAAGCATTCATTTGTTACCTGAGAACCTTGTACACTGGAACCCCGAATATCAGCCACTGTGTTTATCAGACGAATCGTATTTAGGCCAATTTTTGGGCGGAAATTTTGCTCCATATTTTGGCCGGTGCCTCGCAAACTGGCCGTATTATATGAGTCAGCAAGCCTCCCGCCAGGACGCCGCACGTAGGTGAGTCAGTCTCCCTGTGTCTCTTGGCGAATGAGCTTATACTCCGTGCATTCATCCAAACATTTCCATAAAATCCATTAGTTTTTGTGCTTGTTTATTAACCCTTTCAGGGTTTTTGACGTACCAGTACGGCTTACGCACCAGGGTTATTGACGTACTAGAACACCAAAATTCTAGCACCTTCAAATCTAGTAAAAAAAAAGCTGGTAGGCCTACATATGGAAGAATTGGTCTATATGGTCAGTGTGCACAGTATAAAAAAAATCCTGCAGCACACAGTGCATAATGAGTAAAAAAAAAAAACTCCCACCGCGTGTCTGGTTTAAAACAGCGACTTTGAAGTGCATTTTCGTATGGTATTTATGGTTGTATTCTAGTTTTCCTGGTCTCATTTTATAGAATGGAAGGCATATTACAGAAATTGAGATGATTTTGATTGGTTTCATAATGAAAAGTACCTTGAAATTGAGCTCAAAGTAGCAGAAATATTCAATTTTTACCAAATTTCAAAATGAAACAAATCATGCCAAGCATCCAATACACATCAACTGTTGAGTCTAATATTCTTTCACAAAGGCACTGATATCATTTATACAATTTCTACACTAATGCAGTGGTTTGCACAGCAGTAAATCTTCTATTTTTTGTGAGAATAAAAATTCAAAGTGAAAAGCAAAAGAGATGTAAGAGGGACCTGGGGACGTGACCAATGAACAGAGAAAATGTTATTTTAGTGCCAGGAATGTCTGTCTTGCTTATTCTGGACCCTATTTGGAAATTGACATCTACTGAAATTTGTGTGAAATTGGAAAAATTGCCAATTTCTGACCACTTTATTGGATACTTGAAATTGGTAAATGGGTGGTTTCTTGAACTCACTCGATAGAAAAAATGGAGTTCTAGTGAAATAGATATGATTTTTGTTGACTAGTACAATGAAATTGGCCAAAAATAGGGCTCAAATTGGACAAAATCGCCGATGCATAAACATCGTCAAGACCGCTAACTTCGCGAGAGCATAATTCCATAAGTTGTCCATCAAATTTCATACTTTTGGTGTCATTATGATCAGGAAAAGATTCTCTATCATTTCATAAGAAAAAAAAATGTTTTTTTCCAAAAAAATTTCGACCCTGAGAACAAGTTTAGGAGAGGGCCTCTCGACCCTGAAAGGGTTAAGTGCAACTGTGAAATAAGCCATCATGGGCCCAGAGAAAGTTCCTAGTCAAGTTCCTTTGGTAAAGAAAGTGAGAAACATGATGGAATTTAAGAAAGAAGCTACTGAAAAATATGAGAGTGGTGTGCGGGTGCTGAAACTTGCCAGGATGTATGGGAAATCCAAATCAACAATCACTTCCATCCTGGCAAAGAAGAACAAATCAAGGAAGCTGATGTGGAGAAAGGGGTAAACATGTTAACGAAAAAGAGATCACAAACAATGGAAGATGTGGAGTTGTTGTTTTTGTGGATCAGCAAGAAACAGTTAGCGGGAGATGGTGTTTCAGAGATGATTATTTGTGAAAAGGCAAGGCAGTTGCATGTGGATCTCGTAAAGAAAATGCCTGGACCTAGTGCTGATGTCAGTGAATTTAAGGCCAGCAGAGGCTGGTTTGACAGATTTAAGAAGCGTAGTGGCATACACAGTGTTGTAAGGCATGGTGAGGCTGCAAGTTCAGACAAACATGCGGCTGAAAAATTTGTGCAGGAATTCAAGGGGTACGTATAGATTGAAGAATTCCATCCCCAACAAGTGTTTAATTGTGACGAAACAGGCCTCTTTTGGAAGAAAATGCAAAAGAGGACCTACATCACATAAGAGAAAAAGGCACTGCCAGGACACAAGCCTATGAAGGATAGGCTAACTCTTTTGTTCTGTGCTAACACTTGTGGGGATTTGAAGATGGAGCCTTTACTGGTGTATCACTCTGAAAATTCCAGTGTGTTCAAGAACAACAATGTTGTCAAGAGTAGATTGTGTGTGATGTGGAGGGCTAACAATAAGGCATGGGTCATAGGGCAAATTTTCATTGACTGGGTCCATGAAGTGTTGGCCCAAGTGTGAAAAATTACCTCCAGGAAAATAAATTGCCACTCAAGTGCCTCCTGGTAATGGACAATGCTCCTGCTCATCCTCCAAATTTGGTAGACCAGTTGTCTAGAAATTTCAGTATTACAACAGTGAAGTTCTTGCCTCCTAACACCACTCCTCTTATCCAGCCAATGGACCAGTAGGTCATTTCTAACTTCAAAAAACTCTACACAAAAGCAGTGTTTCAAAGGTACTTGGAAGTGACCTTGGACACTGAACTGATGACCCTAAGAGAGTTCTGGAGGAATCACTTCAATATCTACAACTGCATAAGCCTTATAGGTAAGGCTTGGTAGGGAGTGATTTCAAGGACTTCGAACTCTTCTTGGAGAAAATTGTGGCCAGAATGAGTCCTCGAGAAGGATTTTGAAGGGTTTCAGGCTGACCCTGATGACCCTACGCCTGTTGTGGAATCTATTGTCTTTGGGGAAGTCCATAGAGTTGGATGTGAGTGACGAGGAAGTGGAAGAGTGTGGAGGACCACAGGGAAGAGCTAACCCCTTAAGAGCTGCAACACCTTCAACTGGAACAGCAACAGACCACAGCTGAAGAACTTGCTTCAGAGGAGGAAGAGAGAGTGAAGGAGGTGCTTTCTTCAGAGATTAAGGAGATTTGTGCAATGTGGAGTAGGGTGCAAGCTTTTGCTGAGAAATATCACCCTGACCAAGGTGAAACAAGCCATATCTGCAACATGTTCAGTGACAAAACCTTGTCCCACTTCAGGCAAATCTTCAAGAGGTGCCAGAAACAGAGCTCTCTGGACAGATATTTTGTCTGACAGGGGTCCATGATTCTCAAGCTAATCCTAGTGCCATTAACCCTTTCAGGGTTGAGAGGCCCTCTCCTAAACTCGTTCTCAGGGTTGAAAATTTTTCGGAAAAAAGAAAATTATTTTTTCTATAAAATGATAAGAGAATCTTTTCCCGATCATAATGACACCAAAAGTATGAAATTTGATGGAAAACTTACAGAATTATGCTCTCGCGAAGTTAGCAGTCTCAACAATGTTTACGCATCGGCGATTTTGCCCACTTTGAGCTCTATTTTCAGCCAATTCCTGTGTACTAGTCAACAAAAATCATATTTATTTTGCTAGAACTCCATTTTTTCTATAGAATGAATACAGGAAACCACTCATTTACCATTTTCAACTATCCAATAAAGTCATTAGAAATTGTCAATTTTGCCAATTTCACACGAATTTCAGAAGATGCCAATTTCCAAACAGGGTTCAGAATAAGCAAGACAGACATTCCTGGCACTAAAATAACATTTTCTCTGTTCGTTAGTCACGTCCCCAGGCCCCTCTTACATTTCTTTTGCTTTCTACTTTGAATTTTTATTCTCACAAAAAATAGAAGATTTACTGTTATGCAGACTACTGCATTAGTGTAGAAATGGCATAAATAATATCAGTGCACTTGTGAAAGAATATTAGACTCACCAGTTGACGTGTATTGGCCGCTTGGCATGATTTGTTTACTTTTGAACTTTGGTAAAAATAAAAAATTTCTGCTACTTTGAGCTCAATTTCAAGGTACTTTTCATTGTGAAACCAATCAAAATCATCTCAGTTTCTGTAATATGTCTTCCATTCTATAAAAAAATACAGTGCAAAGTCGCTGTTTTAATCCAAAAAATCAAAGTTTTTTTTTTTCTCATTATGCACTGTGTGTTGCAGGATTTTTTTATACTGCGCACACTGACCACATAGACCCATTCTTTCATATGTAGGCCTACCAGCTTTCTCTCGCTAGATTTGAAGGCGCTAGAATTCAGGCGTTCTAGGACATCAATAACCCTGGTGCATAAACCGTACTAGTACATCGGAAACCCTGAAAGGGTTAAAAGACAAAGAAGGGAAGTAACCCCAGAGAGGGACTTGATACCTAAAGTTATTATGGATGGGGAATCCTCTTCCAAACAATAACCTCTCCTTCACCCTCTCTCCTCCTCCCTGTCTTCCATAAGCCAACAAGAGTCTTCGATACAGGTATGTAATAATGATTTAAATGTTCATTTGTATGTAATTGTCATTGTTTTGTGTATGTAAAACTATAGTTAAACTTTACAATTATTTTTGGATGTCTGGAATGGATGAGTTGTATTTACATTAATTCTTATCGGAAACATTGCTTTGAATTTAGGCCGTTTCAAATTTACGCCGACCTTCTGGAATGGATTATGGCTGATATTTGGGGTTTCATTGTATGTAGTGCTACCAAGAGACAAACTTTATAACAGTGAACAAAAAGATTTATAAGCTTATCCTCACCTGGCTGCACCAGCCTAATATAACATTCATCATTTCCTCTCGTAACGCACCGTTCCTGCTCACTGTCAATCCATCGCACTCATAACTTTGTCGCGTCACAGACTAAGGGACAAAATGATGGTGCAAATAACTGAATCAACAAACATTATATAAAAATAAATTACCATAATTCATAGACTGAAAGAATTAACACATTTCATTAGAGTAGAATTTTGGCCTATTCAAATTTTGTTGGCTTTCATCTAGGTCACGCACAGCAGCCCAGTTAAGTAAAATTTAATAAAAATCTGCGTTATTTTTAAACAGATAAATAGGAAACATAAAGGCAATGATCACAAGTTTGTACATTATTAATTGTATTGTGTATTAAAGGTAGATATGCCAACATAACACAATATTTCAAACATTATACAAGTGGTCCCTGATTTACAATGGGGCTATGTTGCAATGAACCAATCGTAAGTTGAAAATTCTTAAGTCAAATATGATAAATAAATAACTACTATCCTTTAATAAGTACACAAATAATTAGTGTAACTAAATACCAGCATTGTAATGTAAAGAAATGAATGCAAGTTTATCTTATCAATAAATGTACAGTAGCGAATGTGCAATACCATCGAACCATTGTAAAAGTCCAAATATCGTAAGTCGAGCCATCACAAAGTGAGGAGCAGCAATACAAAACATCCACACACATTACTGTGCCCACTACACACACAGAACATTATACTCCACCATGAACCCTCCTCTCAAACTCCTCCTTGATAACTACAACAGAACACACAGGCATAACACAAGGCACAAAACACTCGTTTATATCCCTTGTGTCCATCTCTTCCTATACAAAAATGCTATGCACATAAAGGGCCTGAAGATCTGGAATTCATTGCCAGAACATACTAAAGGGCCCCTGCCTGCAAATCAATTTAAGATCCTATTTAGAAATCACCTCATCACCCAAAATTAACCCTTTGACTGTCGCAACCCCCAATCCTGAAGTGTCTCCTGGTGTCGCAAAATTTAAAAAAAAAAAAAAATTATTTTTTCTTATGAAATGATAGAGAATCTTTTCCCGATTGTAATGACACCAAAAAAACGAAATTTGATGGAAAACTGACGGAATTATGCTCTCACGAAGTTAGAGACCTCGGCGCTGTTTACAAATCGGCGATTTCGCGCACTTTGAGCCCTATTTTCGGCAAATTGCATTGTTCCAGTTGCTCAAACTCATAGCTATTTCTTTAGAACTCCATTTTTTCTATCGATTGAGTACAAGAAACTGCCCATTTACCAATTTCAACTACCTAATAATGTGGTCAGAAATTTGCAATTTGGCCAATTTCACGAAAACTAAAAAATATGACAATTTCAAAATAAGGTCCAGAATGAACAATGCAGACATTCCTGGCTCTAAAATAACATTTTCTTTGTTCATCAGTCATGTCTCCAGGCCCCTCTGATATTACTCTTGCTTTCTATTTTGAATTTTTATTCAAACAAAAAATAGAAGACTTACTATTATGCAGACTACTGCAATACTGTAATAACTGTATAAATAACATCAATCCATTTATGACTGCATATTAGAATGGCTAGTTGGACATTTATTGGACAATGGCATCATTTGTTTACTTTTGAACATTGGCAAAAATCAAACATTTCCCCTACTTTGAGCTCCATTTCTAGGTTCTTTTTATAGTAAAATCAATCAAAATCACCTCTATTTCTATAACATGTTTTCCATTCTATCAAATGAGACCAAGAAAACGAGAATACAACCATAAATACTATACGAAAATAGACCACAAAGTCGGCATTTTAATTAAAAAAACGGTCGGAGTTTTTTTTTTCTCATTATGCACTGCGTGCTCCAAGATTTTTTTTATATGGTGCACACTGACCACACAGACCCATTCTCTCACATGTGGGCCTACCAGCTTTCTCCTATTTGATTTGAAGCCACTAGAATTTATGAGTATACATACGTCAAACACGGTACCTCGTAAGACGTATATATACGGCCGCGACAGTCAAAGGGTTAACCAAACAGTTACTAAAAAAACAGTTACTTAAAAAACTCCTAAATAGTTTATGACTGCTCAACTATTTAATTATTACTTCAAACTTAAAATTGTTTCAATATCATTATTGTAAATTGTGCTAAACTGTAATACTGTAATTTTTTATATACTTCATCTCAACTATAAATTTAATTACTATAAACAACTACCTACCTCTATTGCAATAAGAAAAATTATGTATAATAAAAATTTACTCCTGTCAAAATCACAAGCATTAACCCTTTGACTGTCGAAGGGCCAAATCCTGAAGTTGCTTCTGGTGTCGCAAAATATTCGAAAAAAAAAAAATTATTTTTTCTTATGAAATGATAGAGAATCTTTTCCCGATTGTAAAGACACCAAAAAAATAAAATTTGATGGAAAACTGACGGAATTACGCTCTCGCGAAGTTAGCGACTTCGGCGATATTTAAAAATCGGCAATTTCGCCCACTTTGAGCCCTATTTTCGGCTAATTTCGTTATTCCAGTCAACCAAACTCATAACTATTTCTTCAGAACTCTATTTTTTTCTATCGATTGAGTACAAGAAACTGCCCATTTACCGATTTCAACTACCCAATAACATGGTCAGAAATTTGCAATTTGGCCAATTTCACGAAAATTAAAAAATACGACAATTTCAAAATAAGGTCCAGAATGAACAATGCAGACATTCCTGGCTCTAAAATAACATTTTCTTTGTTCATCAGTCATGTCTCCAGGTCCCTGTGATATTACTCTTGCTTTTTATTTTGAAATTTTATTCAAAAAAAAATAGAAGATTTACTGTTATGCAGACTACTGCAATACTGTAATAATTGTAAAAATTACATCAACCCATTCATGACTGCGTATTAGAATGGCTATTTGGACATTTATTGGACAATGACATCATTTGTTCACTTTTGAACATCGGCAAAAATCAAACATTTCCTGTACTTTGTGCTCCATTTCCAGGTTCTTTTTATAGTAAAATTAATCAAAATCACCTCCATTTCTATAATATAGTTTCCATTCTATTAAATGAGACCAAGAAAACGAGAATACAACCACAAATACTATACGAAAATAGACCACAAAGTCGGCATTTTAATTAAAAAAACGGTCGGAGTTTTTTTTTTCTCATTATGCACTGCGTGCTCCAGGATTTTTTTTATGTGGTGCACACTGACCACACAGACCCATTCTCTCACATGTGGGCCTACTAGCTTTCTCCTGCCTGATTTGAAGCCGCTAGAATTTATGAGTATATATACGTCAAACACGGTACCTCGCAAACGTATATATACGGCCGCGACAGTCAAAGGGTTAAGGAGTCTGTAAGCATTAGGTTTAGTCTGCCCGAAATGCCTCGGCATGATAGTGGCTTTCTTTGTACTTCGCCAATCAAAATTGTGATCACACACACTGTAAACTTTGCAAAGAAATAAAATCTTTATCTTTATATATGGATTCAATTACTATTTAGTGTCAAGCACTATTTCCAAAACTAGCAAACACACTACACCAAAATTTCATACCGAAAACATCGTTCCCTGCATGACAAGATTCTCAACATCAGTCAGCATCTTCTCGAGTGGTTGTAACACAGCTTTATCCTGGCCAAACTTGTTCTGGTCTGAGCCGGCCGAGCGCACCAAGCGCCGGTAAGCTCCCCAGTGCTCATGTAACACTGAATTGTTAATTATAACTTCGTCCAATGTAATAAGTGTGGCCAGAAGTAAACCCAGATGCTCATATATAACCTGCAAGCAAGAAATATTATTAACAAAACTTGAATTATCAAAAGTAACAATAATATGGCTACAAGAAAGTAACAATACCATGCCTGCAAGAAAGTAACAATACCATGCCTGCAAGAAAGTAACAATATCATGACTGCAAGAAAGTAACATTACCATAACTGCAAGAAAGTAACAATACCATGACTGCAAGGAAGTAACAATATCATGACTGCAAGAAAGTAACATTACCATAACTGCAAGAAAGTAACATTACCATAACTGCAAGCAAGTAACATTACCATAACTGCAAGAAAGTAACGTTACCATAACTGCAAGAAAGTAAGAATACCATGACTGCAAGAAAGTAAAACGACAAACTTTCATTTCTTCTTCTTTCTTGGTTCACCAGCTGCCTCAGTAGGAGGCAGCTGGTGTGTTAAAAAAAAAAATAATGAATTACTGGTATTAAGGAACATACAGGAAAGCAGAGGTATATGTATACTTACTGTAAGTAAAAGGTTATAAAGATTACATTGGAACCTCGGTACTCAAACAGCTCCCTACTCAAAGTTCAGCAATTGACCAAACAAAGTTCAGCACCTGACCAAACAAAGTTCAGCACTTGACCAGACAAAGTTCAGCACTTGACCAGACAAAGACAACCTGCCAGAACTTCGTTGTAAACTATTTCGTGTTTCTTAATTCTTATTTTTTTTTTATTAATTGTATAAATAAGTCACCATGGGGCCTACGAAGATTAGTGATAACAACCAATCAAACAGAAAATTGATTGGGAAGAATTTGCTCGATACTCGAATGGATCGGCACTCGAACAGCCTTCTGGAATGAATTAAGTTCAAGTACCGACGATCCACTGTACTTGTTCAAGACAGAGAAAAGATCAATAATTCTGCCAGAGCAAAATATCTAATTGGCTTTCATTTCACACTCATGTAATAAAATGGTAGTACCTCCCAGAGTGGTGTGTGTACCAACTTTCAACCAGAGAGCATAACATATTACATTCCAAAGAGGAGGAGGACAATTCCTACACCTTTGATCAAGAGCCTTTCAGCAGAGTTAAAGTAACCTACACTACTGAAGAGTGGTAAGGTCTAAGCAGAAACAAACACTACAACACAATATTGTTTAGGTTACATTCATACCATTCTGATCATGATCACTTCAGCATATAGTCCAGTCAAACCACAATTTACAGAAGTATGATTTAATCGATTTCAGATTTAGCAGACAAAATCTGTGGCCAGAAAATATTTGGAAACAATGGACAATTAGTGTTGTGCTCTGCTGGATAAATTGATTACCAAAATACAAAATTTATTAAATACAGAACTGTTTTATTGTTGCAGCTCAATGAATATATTGATTTTGTTATTTAATGGGCAAAATCCAATAAATCCAGAACTGTAGACTATTTTTACAATCATGGAAAAATTATTTCATAATTGTGATTTAACTTACAATCAGCTTTAATGGGCACCCACATCCTACTACTAGTCTGATAACTCCAACCATTAAAGTCTGTACAGTACTGTAGTACATAATAATGAGACTGATAACACCAAGGTTCACCAGTCATTAAAGCATGTATAGTACTGAGAATTCGTAGTTTGGAAGTTAGGAGGAGGTGCGGGATTACCAAAACTGTTGTCCAGAGGGCTGAGGAAGGGCTGTTGAGGTGGTTCAGACATACAGAGAGAATGGAGGGAAATAGAATTACTTCAAGAGTGTATCAATCTGTAGGGGAAGGAAGGCGGGGTAGGGGTCGGCCTAGGAAAGGTTGAAGGGAGGGGGTAAAGGAGGTTTTGTGAGCGAGGGGCTTGGACTTCCAGCAAGCATGCCTGAGCGTGTTAGATAGAAGTGAATGGAGACAAATGGTTTTTAATACTTGACGTGCTGCTGGAGTGTGAGCAAAGTAACATTTATGAAGGGATTCAGGGAAACCAGCAGGCCGGACTTGAGTCCTGGAGATGGGAAGTACAGTGCCTGCACTCTGAAGGAGGGGTGTTAATGTTGCAGTTTTATAAACTGTAGTGTAAAGCACCCCTCTGGCAAGACAGTGATGGAGTGAATGATGGTGAAAGTTTTTCTATTTCGGGCCACCCTGCCTTGGTGGGAATCAGCCAGAGTGTTAATAAAAAAAAATAGAACTGTAATGCACTTCGCATTACAGCACTTTACTATACAGTAAGGCCCCGCCTTACGGCGTTCCACTAATACGGCGATGTCAAATTATGACCAAAATTTGCTATACAGCAAGCGGTCTTTTAAATACGGCACTCCTCACCAGGTTTGTTTACATTTTCCGTGACCACATCTATTATGTCAGGAAACTTTCCAAAATTTCAAGTGTTTTAAAGTTACTGCATATTTTATAAGTACTTTGATAATTATATTTATGTGTACCTGTACCTAAATATACATACACACTGTGCTGGTGTGCAGGTACACATTAAAATCGCTAAGTCTCTCTCTACTCATGACGCCAATACTACGTAATAATCACTCTTGGGCACACTAAATGTCTTATTTTACATCAATATAGGCATTTTCAGTAATCCATCTATGATATTTTCCTCAAAATTATATATGAAACCCATTACATAGCATATGAACATGATACATACACTCAGAATAAAAATTAATGTAAATATGAGATTTGTTTACAAAGCAGCTGTGTAGGTAGTGTCGGAAGAATTCCGTTTTCTCTAGTCAAACATTGGGGGGTAACTGTAGAAAAATATTCTTTTCGTATGCCTTTACTCTATGTATAGCAATTCACGACCCTTGTGGGTTTAGTGCTTTTTATAATAAATAATAATAATAGTAATAATAATAATTATTATTATTATTATTAATATTATTATTATAATTAATAATAATAATATTATTATTATTATTATTATTATTATTATTATTATTATTATCATTATTATTATTATTATTATTATCTTCATTCACTCTAAAAATAGTGTTGCTGTTTGTTTATTCTGAACTAACTTGTACACAATGTAAGAGTATTTGTATTGTGAGGTAATTATTATTGAAATAAAAAAATATTGAGGTAAATGTTTTACAAACTTACAAATGGACGTGAATGAACTAAAAGTAGACACATTAATACGCATTTATTTCGCCTGACCAACTGATCGTCCACTACCTGTTCAGTTTGTGTTCTTACATTGTCTCAACTCTGTATCTCGTTCTCTCTCTCGTTTACTCTTTCGTTAACCAGTTGGCTCTCATTGACGATGGCGTCTAAGGTTAGCTGTGATATAAAGAGAAGTCGTATGCCTCTTGCTTTAAGTGCCAAGTTAGAGGATGATGGTGTGCCATTCTGATTTTATTCAATAAACACCGTGCCACTCACCTCTCACACATTAATATTAATATTTTAAGGTAAGTAAGTGTACTCAGTGTGTATCTTACCTTTTATTGTGTTTTTAATGCCTATTTCTATTGCTAACTTAATATAAGTTAGTGTAAACTTGTTGTCTGGTATTTATTGCATATTTTATATGCTCTGATAATAATACTTTTGGAGCCTGGTGGAGGGACAACATTACGTTTTCTCTGTTCAGCCATCAGAGAAAACGTGTATGAATCTTCGTTTAGCCCAGCCACTCCCCCACTCCGCTTTTGTTTACAATTTTCGGCATGAATTATTCATTACTTTTACCTTCGCTTATGATGGCATCTAAAGGTAGTTGTTAGAAATTATTAAATTCAGTGAACAAGGCATGTCGATGTTAATAATATGGCTCTGGGCCACAGTGTAGGTAGCCGGTAGGTGTAGCCCAGGATACACCTACCGGCTACCTACACTGACCTTATACAAATAAATACTACTCACCTCTCTTCCTATATTAAGACTACGCATATTTTAAGGTAAATAATGAGTGTACTGTATGTGTATTTTACCTCTCTGGGATGTTTTAAATATCGTATATTAAGTATGAGACGGGGAGCCAGTGCTACCTACACCTGGGCTACCTGCACCTGACTTCCTACAAATAAGTACTACTCACCTCTCTCCCTACATTAAGATTACAAATATTTAAGATAAGTAATGAATTTACTGTGACTGTATTTTACTTTGTGTGTTTTTAATGCCTAGTTCTATTACTAACTTAATATAATTTAGTGTAAACTTGTTGTCTGGCATTCATATGCATTTATAAATGGAGAAAAATGGAGTTCTGCCTTCCGGCGATGTCTGCTTTCCGGCGACAGCCTGGAACCTAACCCGCCGTATAAGTGGGACCCTACTGTACAGCATTTTGCTAATGCAGTGACTTTCAGTTACAACCATTCTTCATTTATTCAGACGTCCTACAATAAATATATTCACCACTCACTATAAGCTAAGAAAAAAAATATTTTAAGGAAAATAATGTATGTACTATATACGTATTTTTTAGGCCAAGCTCTATTGTTCACTTGATATATGATAGTGTAAACATGTTATCATGCTTTTATATGCATTTGTAACTGAAAAAGGGCTATGTTTGACTTTACAGTGGTAGCCTGGAACCTAACCTGATGTATAAGCAGCGTCTGCCTCTACATAATAATGAATAACAACACCAAGGTTCACCAGTCAAAGTGTAGTACAATACTGTAGTACATGCTAACAAGACTCTGTATATAGTACATCATGTTACTGATTTCTTTATTTAAAACATGATAGTGCTCACCTGGAAGTGAACCTCAGACACATCAATAAAGCCATTAACTTTCTTCTCAGGGGAATATAGCGAGGTCATCTGGTGTAATACATTATGTGCCACCTTCTGTACACGTTGTACGTAACATGCTACTTGATGGAGTGTGGGCAGGATGCGTGATAGAGCCATCTGTGACTTTCCTGTGGCCTCTCCTTCCTCTCCAACTGCAAACAGACATATTCTCAGACAGGCAATAATTTATTAAAACAATGATGCTTTGGTTATTTACTATTGTCTAGGAGGAGGAGGAGGAAGAGGAAGAGGAAGAGGAAGAGGAGGAAGAGGAAGAGGAAGAGGAAGAGGAAGAGGAAGAGGAAGAGGAAGAGGAAGAGGAAGAGGAGGAAGAGGAGGGAGGGAGGGAGGGAGGGAGGGAGGGAGGGAGGGAGGAAACATTTCTGTCTGTCTATTTGTCTGTCTGTCAAGCTCCCTGTCTATCTGTCTAGCTCTCTGTCTCAGAGCCACAAGACTTCGTCATCACCTTTACTCACATCTTCAAGCAGAGTATAGCACTTTGTCTGGATTTTTTGGGTTATCCTAGGCAATTTATACTACGTATACTTGTATTTATTATGTGTACCTGTGAGACAGAGACAGATTGACAGAGACAGAAATCGACAGACCCTAGACTTAGGGTTAACATCTCTTTCCTCTTAAAAGAGGAGTGTTAATATGACAGTACATCAGTGAATCCTTGGTGTTTGACGCACTGTTTGCTCTAGATGGTGCTCAATTTAACTAGTGCTCCCACAAGGTACCAAGTGGTCCCAGATTTTTTTAATACTGCACACACAGAGTGTTAGAAGCCATTCTATGCTGACCAGGCATCTCAAGCTAATCGTGCCAAATTTGGAGGCAGGAAAATTAAAACATATATATACGTTTGGGGTGCTACCCTTAAGAACGTATATATACGTTTTGACCGTTTAAGGGTAAAGTTGGTTTTGTGTGACTTTATTGGGTTACTTTATTAACAACACTCACAGCTTGTGTGTCTTTATTAACAACAATTTTTTACTAATATCAACTACAATGGACCACCAGTTCGTGATATTAATCCGTTCCTGAGAGCTCATCGTAAACCAAAATTATCAGAAAGCGAATCAATTTTCCCCATAAGAAATAATGGAAATCAAATTAATCCGTGCAAGACACCCAAAAGTATGAAAAAAAAAAACTTTTATCACATGAAATATTAAGTTTAATGCAATAGAATAATTACAATAACAACAATAACAATAGAATAATTGACACTTACCTTTAATGAAGATCTGGTGATGATTGATGGGATGGGAGGAGGGGAGAGTGTTGAACCTACTGTTTAGAAGGGAAATCCCCCTCCATTAGGACTTGAGGAAGCAAGTCCTTTTCCGGGGTAACTTCCCTTCTTCTTTTAATGCCACTAGGACCAGCTTGAGAGTCACTGGACTTCTGTCGCACAACATATCTGCCCATAGAGCTCTGTACCTCTCGTTCCTTTAAGATTTGTCTAAAATGGACCACAACATTGTCATTGTAATAGTCACCAGCACAGCTTGCAATAGCTATGTTAGGGGGATTTTCATCCATAAAGGTTTGTAGTTCAACCCACTGAGCACACATTTCCTTAATCTTTGAAGTAGGCACAATGGATTCCACAACTGGCATAGGCTTCTCAGAGTTAGCCCCAAACCCTTCAAAATCTTTCTTAATTTCCATACTAATTCTCAGCCTTTTTACCACAGGGTTGGCACTAGAAGCTTTCTTGGGGCCCATGGTGACTTATTTTGCAGAAACAAGCACCAAAAAAGTGATACTATGGATAATATGGAATGTACCGAATGTATCCTTAGATGCACGCACACTGGCTGGCTTGAAACACTGGCACACATGGGGCAGTTCAGGCCACACGTGGACACATCTCGTACAAATCGCATTGCATACCAGGTTTTGTAACGGGAACCGAGGCAAATTTTTGGTGATATAATGCATCGGCTACTGGATTTATTGGATACTGATAGCATCGCGAACCGGGGGTCCACTATATTACAAGTATTATTATTACATTAGTAGTAGTCAGCGCCATAAAACCGATCGATTAACCCTTTCAGGGTCCGTGCCGTAGATCTAAGCTTTGAAGCCAGGGTCCAAACTGTAGATCTATGTCATGAGCTCAGCTCACTCAGATAACCTGTGAGCGGTAAATTTGGGCCTAGATATGAGAGAACACATCTATTTGGTAAGTGTGCACCACATAAAACAAATCCTGCAGCACGGAGTGCATAATGAGAGAAAAAAAAATTTGACCATAATCCTGGATTAAAATAGCGACTTTGTGGTGTTTTTTCGTATGTTTTTTACAGTTGTATTCACAATTTCTTGGTCTCATTTGATAGAATGGAATATATATTACAAAAGTAAGATGATTTTGATTGGTTTTATTAAAGAAAATGGTTTGAAACTGAGCTCAAATAAGCAGAAATGTTCGATTTTGGCCGATGTTCAAGAGTAAACAAATGTTGTCACGAGTCTAATATGAGCTGGTGGGTCTAGTATACATTCACGAATGTGCTGATATTATTTATACAATTATTACAACATTGCATAAGAGTAAATCTTCTATTTTTTGGTGTAAATAAAAATTCATTAATTGAATAAAAAATCAAAATGGAATTCATTTGTAAAGCCTGTAAACTTAACTAATGAACAGAGGAAATGTTATTGTCAATAATAGTGCCAGGAATGTCAACATTCCTGGCACTATTATTGGCACTATTGTTTATTCTGGACCGTATTTTGAAACTGGAATATTTTGAACTTTGTGTTAAATTGGCCAAATTACCAATTTCCGATCACTTTATTCGGTAGTTGAAACAGTTGACTGGGTGATTTCTTGTATTCACTCGATAAAATAGAAGTAATACAGTGGACCCCCGAGTTTCGCCGGCATCAACTTTCGTGAAATCCGACTTTTGGCAAGTTTTTTTGGCAAAATTTAGCCTCGCGGTTCGTGATTGGACTTGTGATTCGGTGACCGTCCAGTACCCGTCCGCCCATCACCGTGCACACAAAGCCAGTCTCCCGCACCATTCACACTCAGTGTGCTATTGTTTACCAGCACGTGACCATCACCCTGCGGGTTCATACAATACATTTCATAATAATCCTTTATTTTTTGCGCTTGCAACTGCTAAATAAGTCACCATGGGTCCAAGGAAAGCTAGTGAAAGCCCTTTGGTAAAGAAAGCGAGGAACAAGATCAAATTCAAGAAGGAAATCAAGAGAGGGATTTTGAAGGGTTTGGGGCTGACCCTAAGGAGCCTATGCCAGTTGTGGAGTCTATTGTGGCATTGGGGAAGTCCCTGGGGTTGGAGGTGAGTGGCAAGGATGTGGAAGAGTTGGTGGAGGACCACAGGGAAGAGCTAACCACTGAAGAGCTGCAAGAGCTTCATCTGCAACAGCAAGAGATCACAGCTCAGGAAATTGCTGAAGAGGAGGAGGAAGAGAGATGGAGGAAGGAGCCTTCTTCAAAGATTAAGGAGATTTGTGCAAAGTGGACTGAAGTGCAAACATGTATAGATGAACTTTGCCCTAAGTTCTTGCAGGCTGTATTGGCAACATGTACAATGACAGTGTTGTGTCCCACTTCAGACAAATCTTAAAGAAACGCCAGAAACAGAGCTCTCTGGACAGATATTTTGTGTGACAGGGGTCCAGTGACTCTAAAGGTGTTCCCAGTGTCTTTAAAAAACAAAGAAGGGAAGTAACCCCAGATAAGAACTTGGTACCTGAAATCCTAATGGAAGGAGATTTTCCTTCCAAACAATAGTGTACACCTTCCTCCTATCCCCTCCTCCCGTCTTCCATCCACCCAGAAGTCTTCAGTAAAGGTAAGTGTAATGTTATTATTATTTTATATATGTATGTACTTGATTTCTCATTGTTTTCAGTATGTAAATCTTTATTAATCTGAAAAAAAAATATATTTTATTTTAATAATTTTGGGTGTCTGGAACGGATTAATTTTATTTCCATTACGTATTTCTTATGGGGAAAATGGTTTCACCATTCGGCAATTTCAACATTCGGCAGACTCTCTGGAACGGTTTAATCACGAAACTAGGGGGTCCACTGTACTAATGAAAGAGCTAAGAATATGGTCAACTGGAATAATGTAATTGGCCTAAAATGGGAGTTAAATTCAGCAAAATCGCTGATGCACAAATATCGCTAATGTATAAAAATTCGCGAGAGAGTAATTTCATTAATTTTCCATCACATTTTGTACTTCTTGATTTATTGCCTTCAGAAAAACATTCTCTACCATTTCATAAGAAAAAATAACAAAACGTTTTGAAAATTCTTGTACCCTGGATGTCACTCTGAGATTTGGCCTCTTGACCCTGAAAGGTTAAGACACATGCAACACTTGCCTACAGTGGACCCCCGCATACCGTACACATCGCATACCGTTCAATCCGCATACCGCTCGCTTTTATCGCAAAAATTTTGCCTCGCATACCGCCCAAAAACCCGCTCACCGCTCTTCGTCCGAGATGCGTCCAATGTGTGCCCTTAGCCAGCCTCACATGTGCCGCCGGTGGCATTGTTTACCAGCCAGCCTCCGCGGTAACATCCAAGCATACAATCGGAACATTTCGTATTATTACAGTGTTTTTGGTGATTTTTTCTGGAAAATAAGTGACCATGGGCCCCAAGAAAGCTTCTAGTGCCAACCCTACAGCAATAAGGGTGAAAATTACTATAGAGATGAAGAAAAAGATCATTGATAAGTATGAAAGTGGAGTGCGTGTCTCCGAGCTGGCCAGGTTGTATAATAAACCCCAATCAACCATCGCTACTATTGGTGGTACAGCTGCTGCTGCTGTTGTACCACCGTCAGCTGCTGCTGCTGCTGTAGTACCATCTGCTGCTGCTGTAGCATCGTCTGCTGCTGTTGTAGCATCGTCTGCTGCTGCTGTAGCACTGTCAGCTGCTGCTGCTGCTGCTGTAGTACCATCTGCTGCTGCTGTAGTACCGTCTGCTGCTGCTGTAGCATCGTCTGCTGCTGCTGTAGCATCGTCTGCTGCTGCTGTATCACTGTCAGCTGCTGCTGCTGCTGCTGTAGCACCGTTGTTGGTGTGGCTTATTGAGAATACCAAGAAACAATTAACCCCAGAGGATTTGCCACCCAGGATAACCCAAAAAAGT